TGCATGTTCCATTATGCTTTCTCAAGAATTTTAATTTACTTTAACCTCATGATATCCTTGTGAAATATAAATAGAATAAGTAGATCCTCTCCTGCCACTTCACAGATGAGTAAATTAAGTCACAGATAGGATAAATGAATCACCCCAAATCACACAGTTCAAGGCAGAATCACAGCTAACATTAAGTCAGGATTTGAGTAACTGGTGTAATAATAGCTCTAATTCACCAAGATGTCAGCCTAAAATACGCTGATGCTAACAGTGGAAGGCCAGTGTTTTAATTAAATGATAACTGCTCCACTGATTAAAGGATCAGGTTAAGTTCTATAGTCAACTCTTTTCATGATAGTACAGTAAAAATAAAATAAAATAATATAAAGGAATAAATTGTAATTCAATCCAGAAAGATCTGGGAGCTTACTATTGCAAGGTACTATTCTAGATGCTTGGGATAAACGATGCATCAGTCAATCGAGCAACAAAACAGACACCAATCCCTGACTTCAATGAGCCTACATTCTAGCAAAAAAGAGACACAAGTAAGCAATCGACATAATAGTGATAAAGAAATAAATTATCTTAGATATTAAAGGATACTAAGTACTAAGAAAAAAAAGAAAAAAATGAAACTGTGTAAGTGGGATCAGAATTATTAAGAGGCAGATAGATTATAGTATTTACCTGGTTGGTCAAGGTAGGCCTCATTGAGAAGGTGAGGTCAAATGACACCCAGGGAAGAGGGAACAGCCCAGAAAAAAGCCCTAAGGAGTATCCTGGTGCATTCAAAGAACAGAAAGGAAGCCAATGTGACTGCAGCAGTGTTAGCAAGAAGGTGGGTTATGTGAGGTGAGGTCAAAGAATAAGGAGACAGACCATGCAGGGCCTTGGAGACCACCACAAGGAGCATGATTTTTATTCTGAATGAAGTAGGAATGATTGCAGAATTTTGAGCAGTTGAGTGGCATGATGTTAACTTAAATTTTAAAGAGACACTATTATTAATCATAAAATATCTTAAAATTTTATCACTCAGTGTATTGTATAATCCTTCTCATATATATGAATCTCAATTTGTCATCCTCCTTTCAAGATAAAATATGATTATTGCCATTTTCCCAAAGAAAATACCAAGGGTGAGAATGCCTGAGTAACTTGGCTACGGATAAAATCTAGTAGTGGTAGAGCCAGGTGAAAAGAACAATTTTTCTTTTTCTTCTTTTTTTTTTTAAAGATTTTATTTATTTGACAGAGAGAGAGATCACAAGTAGGCAGAGAGGCAGGCAGAGAGAGAGAGGAGGAGGAAGCAGGCTCCCCACTGAGCAGAGAGCCCGATGCGGGGCTCGATCCCAGGACCCTGAGATCACGACCTGAGCCGAAGGCTTTAACCCACTGAGCCACCCAGGCACCCCCCAAAAAACAATTTTTCTAACTCAGAGTCCAAAACTGATTGCTCTTTTCTACATACTCATTTACATTAAAGTTATAAAGGAAAGAAAATAATAATTGAGATTAAATTATCCAGATTTTTCATCAACAGAGATGTTCAGCTTGATATATTAAAATGGGATCAAATGTATTTTTTCCTTCTTTTTAATTTCTGGGACATAATGAGGCAAGTAATTTCCTTGGGCTTTCTATTTGAAATGACATATGAACACGTAGGCTAAGATTTTGGGATGCAGAAGTAATCATAATTATTTAAATTTACAACAGTACATTGAGAAAGTTTTTGAAAGTCTTCTAGGTATCGTTATTTATTAGCTCTCTACTATATGCCAGTCTCTGTTCTAAGTTCTTTGTATATATTATAGTATTTCATATTCATCAAATGTTTTAAGAATAGTAGGAGTCATCACACTTTATAGGTGACAGCTGTGGACGCAGAGAGGCTGACTATTTAAAGGTCCTATGACTGCTGGGTACCAGAGCTGGGATTTTACCTCAATCTCCGAAACCTAAAGTTAGGTAGGTCTTCGCTAAGACACACTACTATCCAGCAGCATGATGCCTGACACATCACCTCAACAATTCTAACTAAAAGGTCAGCTAAATATGAATAGCCCCATTTTTCAGATGATTAACTGGTCCTAGAAAAGTTAAGCAACCAATCAACATTTATTTGATAGCCCCAATATGCAAATTGATACGTAGCTGCTGAGAGCACAGAAGATTTATGATACAATATCTTGCCTCAACGAGTTTACAATCTTGTTAAGGTAACAAGGGACACACAAAAAGATAATAAATAATCCAAGCTAGCACATAACAAGTTCCAAATGAGATACAGAGCCAACAACCGCTGGAGAAATTCAACAGAGAGAAAATTGAATCTGGGTGCTTCAATTCAGTTAAGAAAGATCTTTACTAGAGGACCAGGGTTGAGGTGGTCTTTATAGAAAAAGAAAGGTTTCGATCAGAGAGGATGAGAAAAATACTTCCAATGAGAGGAAATAATTGGACCCAAGGCCGAGGGAGCAGATAGGAATAGATTATCAAGAGAAAGTGAACAAATGCGATTGAAGTACAGGATGAAAGAGAGACAAAATAGAAACGAAGTCCGGGAAATAGAACGGAGAAAACCTCGACTGGAAAATTAGGACTCAAAGGGAAGAGGGAGGAACTCGATTTTTACTGAATCGCTACTACGTGGCACCAGTTTCATGCATACTTTTTGTTTCTATAATCCTCTCAACAACCCTATAACGCAGAAAGGTAGATATATGATGACCGCTTTAAATGAAAGGAAACAGAAATTATCTGGCCAAGACACAGCTTTGTGTGTGGATGGAAGTGAAATTCCACCTAGATTTATCTGCCTCCAAGGCCTGTATTCCTTCTTCTATTCCTGCCACCTACTGAAAGCAAAGAGCCATTGAAGGTACATTGAAGGTACATGAAGGTACATGAAGGTACATTGAAGGTACATGATCAAGAAGAGAGAGGGGTATGTGGAAAGCATTGTAAGAATAAAAGAAAACAGGGTCGCCTGGGTGGCTCAGTGGGTTAAAGCCTCTGCCTTAGGCTCAGGTCATGATCCCAGGGTCCTGGGATCGAGCCCCGCATCGGGCTCTCTACTCCACGCAGAGCTTGTTTTCTCCTCTCTTCTCTGCCTGCCTCTCTGCCTACTTGTGATCTCTGTCTGTTAAATAAATAAATAAATAAAATCTTCAAAAAAAAAAAAGAATAAAAGAAAACTAATCTGATTGGGAAATATTAACAAGTGTACAATATCAGAGAAGGAATGGGGAAGGAAGACACGAAACCAGAAGAGCCATTTAACCCAAATAATAGAGTGACAAGGGTCCATATTTGAGTGGTGACAATGGAAGTAAAAAGGAATGCAGGAGATATCACAAAAGAAATATGAGCGCTAACTAGCAAGACCCACGTCCTGAAACAGGCAGATTCTACCCCTCCTGGCCCCACACCCACAGTGTAGATATTTCTTCTAAAAACTCACAGATACAGAACCCAAGGTCTACCTCAAATATTAAGGTTTTTGACAGTATATTATTTATTTTAAGAAATAAAATCTATGATTTAGGAAAAATATCTGCCTTACGGCAATCTACCTCTTAAACCACCATCATGAATTATGACAGATGTGTACTGGGCATACTTCTACCATGTAAGTGTGGCAATAGCTCATTGTCATATGCTAACATTGAGTGTGATTCCTTATATTCATACTCTTTAGAAATATTAATTACTAAAGAAATATTATTTTTCTTTTAGTTTTTCCTTTCAGAAAACTAAGTGTGTATTAAACAATTGACTTTGCTCTGAATGATACAATGGGCCATATTTCTGAGTATTACTGCTCCCTGTACTTCTTTTAAAGTGAGAGATAACTCTCAGGGATTCTAGTAAAAACAGCATTAAATGGCATATTATTTAGCAAGTTGGGTCTTTTCTGACTTTTTCGGACTCCTGGACTCTCCAAACTATACAATGGCAAATATACATAGCATTAACCACCACCTACATTTTTCAAAGAAAGTATTTACATAAACGTCTAGGCATTTAGTCAATGCACATCTTTATCAGCAATTTCATATTATGAAATTTCCAGTAATAGCCTAACTATATAAATCTTTGATTAGTATCAATTGTTCAACTATTTTTTCTTAATTTTTAATAAATGGTTAAACTAAACATCCAAATAAGTATAACATACATGTGATAAATGTGTGTATGGAGATATATAGGTCCTGTTATAATTGATGAGTAATAATATTTTGATTCAGAATCCTTTAGGAATTATACATCTACTTTGCCTTCACCTAATCTCCTTACCTAGCTAAGGATAATTAGAGGATAATTAAAATTTAACACATTAAAAAAACTAACATTTTAGCCAAGGCTAATTCTTCATAGATAAAGACAGATTTTCTTTTCTGAGTTGAAAATCAGTATTTAAATTTGAAATCAAACTATGTCACAGTCCAATAAATATACGCGTACAGCTAATATATAGCTAAAATGTCTTTGAAATTTTCAAGAATGCCAAACCAGTGCTACATTTTAGAAATATCATATGTATGTGTAAAGAAATATCATCATAAAATCCTAAATTGTGTATTTGCTGAAATCAAGCCAGATGTGTTTTTTAATGTTTCTTAATTCTTCTTACGTATACTGCTGTGAAAATAGGCATCTGTAAAATATGAAGATACTATACAAGCACAGCTTCCCAGTACTGTTTCATTTAAATGTACTTTAAGTTTGAAAAACTTAGCTATTAGAAATAAACTAATTTAAGAACTTTTCATGCAGGAAGTCTGGACTCTATATGACTTTAGGCATTCTTAAAAAATATGTTAAATACCTTGTATGTGCATAAAAGGATTCCCAGATAATATTTACTTCATATAACTTACTACTATTTACGATTCTTAATACATGCATTCATATATAAAATGTATTAGAATATGAACTTTACCCCTGACATTTAAAAGCATTATTTTGTGAAAGTTTAAAAAAAGTAAAACTACTTTTACCTCCCAGTCCTGGTCTAAGCCGATTATCGTAACCATCCAGAAGTCTGTCTAGAATTCTTGTAAAGATGGTAATGTTATTTTTAGCCTCATCTTCTTGGATGTTAGCCAGCACCAACCTAAACAGATAATTTTACAAACTGATATATATACATACACACACACATTCACATATACATATGTGTGTTGTACAAGTGTCAACATGCTTTTCTTGCTTGGTTTGAATTTTAAGTCTCTCTAAGTTATTAGGGTCACCCCTTTTCTCCTTTTATCACTTCTACAAATACCAGCATACCTGTGGAGGAGATAAACGTGCTGTTGAAAATGGACACTAAATACTAGATTATCAGAAAGTTTGATGTCAAAATTATTTTAGGTTTCTACCACTTAGCATTCGGTGTAGAATATTCATGTTTTTTTCTAAAAGTCATCCCCTAGAATATGACTGTAGATGACTACATCCAGACACTATTAGTACTATTATTCTGCATTAAGAAAGGTACAATAACCAAAATGATTCCTAAAATAATACTTCAGTGCTCTGAATATTAATTGGAAAATAAATCACCTCCTCGGAGGCAGAAAATTTCTCTATCTTCCTCATAAATGCCTTTTTTTTTTTTTCCCTTTATGTCATTTTTCTCTTTTAAACCAAGATTACTTTCTTACTTTGGGTATACCTCCACCCAATGGCCAAGTGCAATATAGACATCAGGGAAACTCCACTGGCTGTATTCCAGGCTTCTCGGTAGCCAGGCGGTGGAGGTGGGCTCTGAAAGGAACAGGAACACACACACACATGGCTGCAGAGAGCCTTGGAGGAGTACCCCTCCTGACTGGTCTCTGAGGAGAGCGACAGGGATTGCCTAAAAATTAAAATGCCTCGCTACTTTTGTGTGTGTGTGTGACAAATTTGCGGAAAGAACAAATGGTCTTAAAATATCGCCAGAAAAGGGTTAGAAACAGTGATTTTCTCCATTATTTCTCCATCAGAAAGCCAGAGACCTGATTTTGTGACATCCAGCAATTTGGTGCAGAAGCAACTGAATGCATAAAACAGAATGTCCCTTTTCACTGCCATTTTTCCCCCCCTAGAATGATTCAGAGATTTAAATTACTGGCCCAAAAAAAGAATCATTTATATAATAGAATAAAATACTGGCATGAGCATTACTGGTCAAATATAGAACAGAAAACTAGTAGAGGGAAATATGGTTAAGCACTGAGGATCTTCAATGATTATTAACTGGCCATGGTGTGTTCACTCCTTTCAAATCAAAGATTATACGTAATTGCATTCAAGGTGTAGTGTATAAAATATCACTGACAGAGTCCATTTGCATTTAAATCACTACTTAGCTAGTAAATAAAAATAGTCATGATACATTAAAAAAATTGGTAACCAACTTCAAACAAATATTGTCTTGAGGGCAGAGAAAACATTAGAACACTGGTATAAAGGTAAACATTTAAAAATTATGTAAGGAAATTAGTTCACCAAAACTCCAGCATCAAAAGTTTCTATATTACCTTAAGCTAATTTTAAAACCAATAATTACATTAATCATAAAGTTCCACATAGAGGTTTTCAATGAAAAGTGTTATTTGATCACATGTCATATTCTTTTTCTAAATTCAATATTAAGATGTTAAATGAGGAGCTATTTTCCAATTAAAAACAAGCCTTATGAAGAGATTTCATCTTAATTCTGGAAATTTTCATACTTTGACAATTACTTGGACAGGAAAATGAAAAATTAAAAAGGAAATAAATATAATAAAGACATTATTTTTTAAAGGAATGGTTACATGAACATTCTTATAACTCTTACATTTCAAGTCCTCTGATATTTTGAAAATCATATCCTAAATTTAGACAGTAAATAAAAAATACTCAGTGATGATAAAAATCAGAAAGAATATATTTAAGATGATGTTATTGAAAGCAATAAAAATTAATGTCATGTTTGTAGAACATAAGCAAAACAAAATTAGTTACATGTTTAAAATAAGTACTGTTTATGGCAGTAACCATTTTAGAAATAAAAGATCTCTAAATCAATAATATGAGGAGTTGATTAATAAATCAAGCTTTTGTTTTATTGTGATTGTGAAGTTGTATACTACCTCCACCTAGAGGTTAAAAACTCACACATCCTTTGGGTTTTCTATGTTGACCAAAAGAGTCAAGACCATTAAAAAAAAGGTGAAAGAAAGAAGAAAAGAAAGAAGGAAGAAAAAATAAATTAACTAATCAAATCATTTTAGCTTGTGCTTTTCCGTTTGGCTTAAAGAAAAACTGTTGGCTATTTTACTGAATCTTGGTGTTATTATAACTTAACCACTTCAATTCCTTGCAAGAAAATGCAATTCAAAAGATGTCTTTTTTTTTTTTTGCAGATTTTCTTTTCTTTTTAAGAAAATGTTTCTGATCACTTTCATATTGTATCACTAAAAACAAGAAGCAGTGAACTTTTTACAGCCTCTGCCACTCCATAGTTCAATTTCCTGATACAACCTTTTTTCATTGGAATTGACTCTTCAAAATACTTCAGCTTCTCAAAGGCTACCTCAGCACTGATAGCATTCAAGAAACACACCGTTTACCCTGAATTCAAAAAGTGGAATACAATAAATAAATGTCTCACCTGGCTGGGTCCCACACCAAGAAAACAAGAAGGAGCAACTGCACGTTGTAGCTATTTAATTTCGTCTTCATTGCCGCTCTTTGTAAAGCCATGGAAGAAAAATAAAATACACTTAAAATGACATTCAGTTCCACCATCCAAATAGCCCCAAAGAATGTCAATTAAACTGAGAATTGGAGTTAAGGCTATAGAATTATTCCAACGGAGCAAGTGTAGGGTGTGATGATAGGGGGTGAGAGCGGAGGGGGTGGGGGGGTTGTCTTGTCTTTTTCTCTTTCTTTCTTTCTTTCTTTCTTTCTTTCTTTCTTTCTTTCTTTCTTTCTTTTTCTTTTTTTTCCTCTCTTGACAGCCAGATGACCAAATAATCAGACTTTGCTCTGCCAGGAACTTCCCCAGCCCCATCGTCAGCAAACTGTTTTGTGCTCACACACACGTAATAACAACACGCGGGACCCTGAACTGACATAAGAGCTACAGAAAAGAATGGGTCAGAGGGGAGAGTGCAAAGGGGGAGGAGAGATGGGTACTTGGTGCCACAACCTCCGCTGCCAAGACCACCCTCGCAACCCCAGCGGGAAAAGCCAGGGGCGGCCAGCCCACTTTTTCCATTATTCTTTTCATCACAGTGTGCTGCGGTCCTCACGTCTTCCCTTCTTCCCTCCCTCTAAAATAATATAAAAGAAAAGAAAAGAACCTCTCTTCCTGCCCCGGCACAGTTTGCCCAAGACCACGTCTTGGAAGCGGCCGGGTTGGGATCAACCGCTGCGAAACGACGCGTTTGACAGCTGTTCGGAGCCGAGGACCACAGCCGGGGCAGGGGCGCGAGGCTCCCGGATTCAGCCGCGGCCGATAAGCAGCGGCGAGCTCAGTGTGCAAAGTTGAAGACTGCAACAGAGCTAGGCTAACGCGTTGCCTGCCTGCCGGCCGCGCAACCGTGCGCCTCGGCTCTTACTGTAGTTGCAGATAAGCTTCTGGTGAGGAGTATCGAAATTATGTTTTATAAAATGTGCCGGGAAGGAGTAGGAGACCTGACCCTCCCCGGTTTCAGGGAGCATGGGAGAGTGGGGCGGGGGAGACGAGGCATGCCCCGGAGGCAAAGGCAAACGGGAGGGGGTCCCTACTGGGACTGACGTGTGCGACCTTACCTGAAACAGCAAGCAGAATCGCGTATTTTCTTCCCTGTGCCCTGATCTGAGCAGATTGGAAACTTGAGGGAGAGCGAGAGAGAGCGCGAGTGAGAGCGACTGCAGCAGCCGAGCGAGTGGGGAGCGATGGGCTGGTGGCAGCCGGAGGGGAGCGCGGAGAGCGGCGGCCGCCGTGCGAGGAGTAGATGGAGGCACAGGCGTCCGTAGTGGCGCTGATGGGCGGAGGAGGAGGAAGAGGAGGAGGGGAAGCGTTGGCAGGAGCGGGCGGGGTGGGGGGACGCGAGCCGAGGCGCGGTGCGCGCAGGCTGTGGCGGGCACGAGCCCCACGCCTGGAGGAGGAGGAGCCAGGCCCGGGAGGAGGGCTAACGAGGTTCCCGGGAACGCAGGGACCCCCACACCCGCCCGGATCCGGGGTAACAACCCGCCCCGCGTCGGGCACCTGCAGCGGCACAGCCCCCGGCAGCGGCACGCTCCCCGGCGCGCCCCGAGCGCTGCTCCCCGCGCCCACGCCCCGCCGGAGGAGCGGAGCCCACGCGCCGCCCCGGACTGCTCCCCGCGGCCACCCGCCGGGGCTCCCCCCGAGGACCCGAGGTTCCTGGGGCGGGGTGGGGGGCGGGGAGCTGCCAGTGGGTGTTGGTGCGGAGTCGGGAACACAGAGTGTATGTGACGCCCTAGATCCCAGGGACCTCGCCCTGCCGCCCGCCCCCCAACATCCCCTGGCTCCGGAGCGACGTGGCTGCTGAGCAGAGGTAAAGAGGTACCACTCCCGCTGGAGGGCGAGGGGACTCTAATCAGCCTCTACTTAGTCATCATCGCATCCACGCAGGATCAAGTTCAGCGCATGTTGCGTGGAGTCAGACAGCAGGAAGTTTCTTTGATTTCCTGAGCCGTCTTGATATACCACTCATTCCTTCACACTTCTGCAATCAGGACCCATTTCCCCTCAATGCTCTGACGGCTGGAGACCTCCCTCCAGCGGGTCAGTAAAGTCCATTTGCAGATTATGCACCTTGGGAAACCTCCGGCTCATTCTGGGCAATTCTTTTTCCCAACATCTTTTCACGGGCGTCCTCCCTACGTGATGATCAAACTCAATCAACAAAGCTCTAAAAAAGTTTACATTCCACGCCCCCGCACCCACCCCACCCCACCCCAGCAAAAAAGGTACATTCTGTACTTCTACTACCTCTGCAATTCTTGGGGAGGGGCTAAGGGGCGGGGGATGCGCAGAGAGGAGATGTAGTCTAGCAGGGTTTGTGGTTTCCCCCCTATAAGGTTTTTGCTGGTAAAAGGACCTGTTGTAATTCCATTCCCATAGTACACTTTCAGTATTGTGTTTGATCTGTCTCATTTCTCTTCTGTTTTATCTGAGGCGATAAAACCCAAACGTGCAACTTGAACAGAAAAAGAGAAGAAAAAAGAGAGAAAGACATTTTCCTTTTTGTACTGCACATAAGACAGAATGTTATGCACACCCTACTAAGGCAAGGCAGAGAGGGTGTTTATCTCTTCAAGAAGTTGTTATAAATGTTAGACACTTAAAAGGGGGGGTAGATAAGTATGCTGATATGTTTTTCTCATATTACATTCAGAGTCAATATGTGCCAAACACTTCAATTTCGTTAGTTATGAACCAAAAATTCAGATGTTTTTTTCTAGATGGTACAGTTTTCATAACAACAGACATTGCTAATCTACAGTAAATTTTAGCTTTGCTCTGAAGATTATGTGAGGAGAGTAAAACCTTTACATTGTAAATATTTCAAGCTGTTCTTTTTAACCTATTAATCACCACTTTCTGAATGAGCATTTAATATGCTACAACCTAAACAAACATTTGCTTTCCTATTTAGCTGGCTCTGTGAAGAATGGAACACCACCCAGCCTTCTCCATCATTAATATTCCCTTCCTGACTTGCCCATTGCAAAGTCTAATTGAAATTCACAAAGATAAAAAGCATGCCATTTAAAACCTTGCAACTAGGGAATCTAAACATCTTCTACTTGGTGTGAACACTTTACTTCCTCCTGTAATTTCCTATTTTCCATTTCTATGAATCAATCTTCATTAAGATCTCTATCACTTTGCCATTTCTATTACTACTAAATTGATTATATTTTGATCATGGAAGTTGAACAGCTCATGTTTTCTTCCCAACCTTAACTCTGTGCTCCACAAAATTTCTCTTTTACGAATGCCACAATTTTTGTAAATATCCTTATAGATTATTTTCATATTTGCCAGTATAGTTTCTTTTTTCTGGATTTTCACGCTGAATTATAGATTTTAGTTTGGTTTGTTTTATCTCAAAATTCGTATCTATTTGAATGATTTAGTCTAAAAAAAAATTAGGCTTTCCCATTAGCACCCTTAATATAAATTTGTAATCTCATTGTCATATGACCCATTTACCTGGAACTTCACAAAATTCAAGCTATGTGGGATGATTTTCACCATTTTTTTAAACTATATGTTAGAACCGTCTATCAATTTGTGTACGAACTTACTTGAGACCGCTTCAGTAAAAACTAGATTCCAAAAATTCATTATAAGCCATAATTTTTAATTCTTCCCCACAAAATGTTTTGCAGTGTTACTGGAGTTGGGTATCTGTGATCGGACTTCAAAGCACATTAAAGGAGATGGAAATCAGAAATGCTTATTGAAGGCAGTGAACCCCCTACTTCAGTTGCTGTATCTATACTGATATTTCACTGTGTTGCTAGTCCAGGCAAATATCTTCGAGGATCATCCAGCTTTCACAAATATCCGACAGATCCAGTCTGATTTCTTTCTTCTCTCTCTGTGTTGGAGCACAGTGCACTGCCTATGATTTGAGAGCCAGCCTGGGTAGGTCGTGACTAAGCTCTTCCAACCCACTCCTTTTGGAGCATGTCCTAAGGCAACCAATCCTGTAGACACATTGACAACTAATTGGTTGCCAGTACATCTAAATTTGTTTCTGCCCAGGCTAGGGCAGTGCAAAACCTTCTGTCTGAATTTGTTTGGATTATTCTCGCACAAATGGGATTGGGTGGTGGGAGGTCACTTATAAATTCCTTATCCTTAACACTCTAGTCTCTAAGAAGATTTCCACATGAGGAACAAGAATAAAAGAAAGACAAGGAATTGGGGGGATCTTGATTTTGTCTGACTTTTCTTTCCTGATATTTTGCAATATTGCATGTTTTTAAAATTCATTATAAAACTGTGTTTTTGAACAGATATTTTGGAGAACTTCCCTTTTTAGGGCCCAGCCATATAGACTTATTACTATTGTTCCAGGGAACTATTACTCTATATGCCCTAGGGGACCTCTTAAATCCTAAAGTTCTATAGGCAATATGTGTGTAATATACATTATATATGTGTAATATACATTATATATATTATATACATACATACATGCATACAGATATACAATATTTATCTGTAAATAGATATCTGAACTAATAAAAATAGGCATAAGGATTTTAATGAGAAGAGCATTTATATAATGCATCTCTATAAAATGCATTTAGCCTCACTAACATAATTTAATTATAGTGATTTTTATACACTTTGAAGAGAAGTACAAGAATCAACAAAAATATCCTCTCGATATATTTACAATTTTTTAAATATTGCATGTATTCTATATAATAAATTTATATACACTTTAACTGCACCTTCCCATCTGAGTCATCCATTTGAATGAGAATATAAATTTGTGAAAAATTAAGAACTAAAGCATAAATTTTCCTGTTTTCACAGAATTAAATATTACCCGATACTTTTCCTCAGAATGCTTTACTAATTTCAAAGTTTACTTGGAGTGTAAGTCTGTTCTCATATATTCACATTATCATTAAAAACAAAACAAAAACTAGAAAAAGTACCCATTTGGTCAAAACCGTGGGTTGGTCAAGCTCCATTTTACCCTGGCATTTGAGTTTAGATGGATGGTTCTAATATGTCCTCTAGGCTCCAAGCTTCTGAAACAAGAAACAGCTGGAAAGTGGGAGTAACCAGCCTTATAAACAAATAATTCCAAAACTACTCTGTTACATTAATGTATTGAGGTCACATTTCATTAGAACTAAATATATCATGTACACTAGCTTGGATGAACTATGCATATTACCTTCTTCAAACAGAGTATCTCTGTTTATAAAGTAATTTTGCAAATCCTTATCTAACTTGCAAATCAAATTTATCATGCATTCAGGATATCCTGGTGGTTTCTGAGATTTTAAAGACTACTTACATCAAACATTTATAAAGAGTAATTTGTAAGGAAACCCTTCTGCCTTCTTTTCATGAAATTATAGATAAAATTTCTTTTCAAGTTTTGAACTACTTCCTGAAACAAAGATAACATTCCAGTAATTCAAAAAATATATATACTGTGTATTTCATGAAGCTACGTGATTGGCAGCTTTTGCCTGGGAGGTGTGTTTTGTAAATAATACTCATAGTAATGGAAATTATAAAAAATAAACCTGTAATGTCTTCATCTGTGTAACAAAATAGATCCCATTCCACATATTTTGCATGTATTAATTGACTTAATCCTGACTTAATCTTCACAAGTCAGGATTTGGTTTTTATTATTCCCATTTCACTGGTGAGAAATTTGAGGCACAGAAAGCTTAATCTGGTTCAAGGTCTTACTGGAGGAGCCAGGAGTAAGAGCCCAGCAATATAGCTCCGTAGTCTCCATGCTTAATTACTATACTGTATTGCCTCTATGTTACTCCATGACAGCCAAACTTCTAACTTCTTATGTGCAGTCTCACCATTGAAGCTTTGGATATTTAACTCTTAATGTGTTAATGTTATGAAGGTAGTGTATATCTGTGAATAACAGCCATATATTCATTCAACAAGTCTTACTGAGTGTGTGCAAATTACAAGACACTCTGTTAGGTACCACTCTGGATATAACGGTGATTAAGACATGGTCCTTACCCTCAGAAAGCATGAAGTATCATATGTTGTTAATTACAAACAAATTAATAACCAAAGCTTATACATGTACTCTAAAAACTTTTGAATGTTTCCAAAACAGTACTATCTTTACTAAGGAGTAACATGCAGCT